CTAATGTTTTGTGTACATCCTATCTCCTAGTCCTGTTTGATCGTAAGTTAGACGGCAGTTTTCACTCACAATAGTGTAGTCGCAATTCTACTTGCACAAAAGTGAAATTCAAAATAGAAGAGGAAAAAACCTCTCTTGATTGATTTTAAAAGTACTGTACAAAGAGACTATTTCTAACCTTAATAATTTTGCATTCTAAAAACTACGATTTGATGCATGAAAATTGACCAGCAAAATGAAAAGTTATAGCAAATGAAAATTTACGATTTTTATAAATATTCATGTGCTTATATAACATTAAACTGTGATTCTGACAATGCTGGACTAAGGTGCACAAAATGAAAATTTGAATAAATATACAGAAAATGTATTAATTTTTTTCTGCAAAGTGAGTCTCATGAACCACCGGACACCAACAACAAGCCAAAAATAATAGTTTCCGTTAGGCTTGGGCCTAGATTTCTAACCTTAATAATTTTGCATTCTGTTCTGCAGACTAGGTCTATGTATTGCCCACAAATTGTAGCGATTTAATCAATCAAATCAGAAAAAAACTATCGCAGCAAACAGCAAAGAAATATTACCGATGACCCATTGTGTGACATAGGTCTATAACATTTTGACTTTTGCATTACCAAACACAAGGGTAACTTTCTTAGGCCAAGATGTCCTGTATGGGCGTCTAGCGGCTTATTATTTTCAAACAATTTTTAATACGTGAAGGTGCCACACCCTCCCAATCCCTCCCTCGACTCGCGTCTGCGGCGCTCCGGGCGCTACACACCACAGTACACCTTTTTTCCTGGGTCTTCAAATGTACCGTATTCCTTGAACAACTTTGGCTCCTATTGCGACAAAGTTGAGAACCACTGGACTATAGAATTGGAGTGACTGTTTTTCCATGAAGGAACGAGGTTTATCATTTGCTTTTCATGGTTCGAATACGTCACCAGCTCCGTAGATATTAAATCATTATTTTTATGAATTTTAGTTTGCACGAAATATGTAAGCGGTTATGATTGTGATTAACCAAGATAAATTGAAAAAAATAATGATAAGTATTTCAATAACAGATTCAAGGGGGCCCAGCTGGCCCATCCTCCCTAATTGTTTTCAAAATTTATAATTGAAGAAAAAGGAAAATTATATTCAAATAAAGTCTGAGCAGGGAACAGTTAAATTAGGCCTACTAATTTAACTGTTCTCTGGTCTGAGAGTGCCATTTCCGGCCAACTGAGGTTCCCCCAAAGGGCCGCCTCCTCTTTTTCGAATTTCTGTCATCCGGATCAGCCACTGTATATGGAAAATGTAGTGTGGAAATAAATTTTAATTGCATTCCTTAAAATCAATTACATACGACGTATAAAAAGCCACAGACGCCAGAGCTTCCGGGGGCTTCGCCACCTGGACCCCCACCGGGGGCTCTAGGTGGCCCCTGGCCCCAACCAGGACTTCCTTATTTTGCAATTCGTCCCCCCACCCCACTTTTCACAACGGATCGACTCCCATGACTCTGACATGTATTGGCAACGTTAGTGATCTTTATGCTTTATGTAATCATTTTAACAATAATATTAAATCTAATTTTACGGTTATCCCAATACTGCCTGTGAACTTATCCCAGAAAATTGTAACGTCCACTTTGGTTTTCATCCTCTGAGGGAAATTAGCACAACAAGCATTAAGCTGGAGAAGGTAATTTCTTCTCTTAAGAATTCCAAATCTTCTGTTCCAGACTCCATAAACCATGATGCTCAAAAGAATACCGCTCCTGTTATATCTGGTATTTTAGAATTTTCAACCTCTAGCTTAGTCTCGGTGCCCTACCCTTGGAATGGAAGGAGGCCACTGTCGTCCCCATTTTTAAAAGTGGCGATGTTAGTGTGGCAATTAATTACAGACCTATATCTATTTGCTCCACTATCAGTAAAGTTTGCTCCACTATCAGTAAAGTGCTTAAGCCTATATCGCCTCAGTGCGTCTTAATAACTATATGTTGTCCGACTTTAATTTAATGAATACAACTCGGTATTCTCCATAAATCATGTGTAACTCAAGTTTCTACTATATTGAAAGAATGGCCAAAGCTAATTGATAAACGTAAACCGCCTAGGTTTGATGCTATTTTTCTTGGGCTCGTGCATTTGACAAAGTTCCTCACTCTGTCTTGCTAAATAATTACGGCATTTGTGTGAATATTTATAAATGGTTTTCGTCTTTCCTCATTGATAGGAGACAGCGAGTCGTTTATAACGGGGCCTCGTCTGATTGGATAAATGTTTCTTTTGGTGTTCCTCAGGGAAGCATCCAGGGCCCGACATTATTTAATCTTTTTGCTAATGACTTGCCTGATTGTATATCCTCATCAACAATTGCCCAATATGCTGATGATACGGTACCGTAATTATAAGCCCGTGTATTCAGAAATTGACTCTTATGCTCTCTCCAGTCTGATATTGATAATATTATCGAATGGAGCACTAAAAACGGTATGTTGCTTAATGTTCAGAAATGCAAACCATCAGGGGCGGATTCTGCGGGGGGTCATGAGGGCTCGTGCCACACACCCCACCCCCGTCAGTCAAGTCGAAAAATAAAAAGAGGGAGAAAATTTGAGTTGAAAAGAGGAAATAGCTGGATAAAAGGAAGTACACACAAGAGTTCAGTGTCGATCCAGCAGTGGGCGAAAGAACAGCTCGATTGTTTACATACTGATTGTTTACCACTTTTCACCAACCATGGTGGGGCTCTGAGGTGGGCGTGGACAAATTGTGTG